GGAATCACATTATTATAATAACGAAAAAACTCACTTATGGTATGAATTTGTAGTGTTTTTTTAAAATGTTTTACTGGCATAAAATATTTTAATTAAATAAAATATACATTTCGCAAATGGCCTATTTATGGGTAGCCCATATACTTTACACACACACACACAAAAAAAAAAGCGCGATAAATCCAAAAAAGTTTTGAGTCATATAGGATCCAATTTTGGAGAGATCCCACCATGTTTAGCTTTCTACTTGCAGCGTATTATTTTGATAAAGAATGTAGCACGATAAAAGCAAGATGCTTCCTGTTTCTACGTAATTGGGTCGCATCTTTCTATTCATTCGTAAGCCTAAGAAGCTATACATCTATATATTGCTTAAGATTGATGTGCCTACCCTATTACGTTAATAATCATAGCGTTACCAAAGTTTAAAAATGTTCACGATAACTGATCAGGTAGTCATGGAGTAATTATATATTTTGATCAATTTCAAGATTATAGCAGTACACGCACAACTATATATGTGTCTATCAAGGGAGAAGAGTTAATTAATCTTGACTATTCAATATATAAATGATTAAAGTTATAGGTAAATAAAATAAGGGGAATGAAGTGTTGGAGGAGAAACTCTTCCCTTCGTGTAGATATAAAGAAACGTCTCATTTCACTTTTTTTTTCTTCAATTTGGTAGGTCCAACAATTTTTTGTTTTTGTAGAAGAATTAAAAGTTTCTCATGTGACAAGAAAAACTTATAACCATAAAATTAAAATTAATTTTTTTTTTTTAAATTGTTCCAAGGGTATCCTTCATTCGAAAGCCAAGAACTAATCCCCTTAAAGAAAATCTTTTTTTTTTTTTTTGAAAAATCTTTGATATCGTATTGTTTTATTTTTCATAACCAAATAAAACATAATTAATTGCACATTTTACATTTTTTTTATTTTTATCTTACCTTTCACCATTTATTAGTTTAGGGGAAGGATCCGTTTACAATTTTTTTTTTTACCAATTACACTGAGTATGATCAGTCATACACTCTTGATTAAAGTATGACTGGTCATACTTAGTGTTATTTGTAAACAAAAAGTTTATAAATATAACCTTCCCTATTAGTTTATGGGTTTTATAATTCTCATTCAACATGAGAATTCAAATTTTCCTACACACCCTTCGATTTCCGTGCTGACATGGGTCCTACATATAATTTTTTCTAACACATGGGTCCCACATGTTTTTTATCTCTACAACATGAGAATTGAATTCTCATTCAACATAGAAAATCAAACCCCTTAGTTTATATATATACATTGAAGGGGAGGTTATACTTACTACTTTTTTTTTACTATCTCTTACTATTAAATCTTAACCGTTGATTTCAGTCAATCTAACGATTGTAATTTATTAAGAATTAATAATTAATTAATAAATTTAATTCAATAAATTATAACGGTTAGATTGACGGGAATTAATAATTTTAATTTAATAAAAAAAGAAAAAATAATAACTATAATGTTTCCATACATTCAAATGGTTTAGCTTACGTATTTTCTTTGTTTTCTTTCCACTTTCTTATTGGCACATATATAGAATTTAGAAAGTACAGAAAAAACAACTATTCAGCCCATGTCTTTAATACTGAATGGATCAATAAAAACTTTGGTTGACGATTAATGACTCCAAATGTATGCTAACCCCTTCCCCTTTCCAAAAAATTTAAAATAAAAAATAAAAATAAAAATATCCTTATTATAGGAAAATCAACTTAATTTTGTCCTGATTTGAAAAGCCAACATAGTGGAAAGGAAGTCCACAATAAAGTTGGTCTAATTTACTATTACGGAAAGAAACTGATCAATTGTTAATGGTTGCAAAATTTCCACTGTCATCCAATCATATAGACCAAAGTGAATTCCCAGATAGGCTTCACTTTGGAAAACAAAATTGAAAACTCCACTAGTGCATAGCCCTGGCATACCTTCAAAACCAATTCAAGCGACATTAATATAGACAATATGCTACCTTCTGTGGGTACAAAAATGCACATATACATGTCTTTCTTTCTTTTTTCTATAACTCATCCTTCAACCGACAGTTAAAGACTAATTTTTTTGAAACAGGAGATCATATTAAGTGGATAAACCTCTTTCAACAAAGCTTTTCTACACACGACCAAATATTGAATCTCTCTCAGCATGCTTAAGGAGCCCAACTATCCACTAATTAACTATGTTGGGCTTTGTTGGTTATATGTCTTGGTTAATAAGGAAAAGTATCTTCTCGTGGTAGCTCAATTTGTGTATGAGAGCTAGCAGATGGGGTAAGAACATGTGTTCAATCCTCTCCAATACCATCTTTGACAGAAGTTTAAAGCCTTGATTCTGGACCCGCCCCGAACATAACAGGATTGCCTCCTGTGAAAAATACTTGTGATTTATCCAAAAAATATATATAAAGATGAAACAACAATAACGATTTTGTAACTACTTATTTCAATATATTTTTTCTCTCTCTTCTCTTTTCACTATTGATTCAATTCTTTGTATGATTATGATTCTCTCACATGACCGTATTATGTTACATAAGACATAGGAGGATCGACTCCCAACCCAACTAAGTATTACTATTAATATACAAGCAAATATACGCCTGAGTAACTTTCAGATAAAAAATCCTTCAAGTAACTAGTTATGGGAGGCGTTTGATAGAGGATAAAAAAAATTTGTGCTCGGGAATCATGATTTTCAAGAATATTGTAGGAAAGTGAATCTTTCGAGAATGTTATCAAAAAGTTATTTGGTAGACTAAAATATTACCAAAAATATTGGCTCAAGATTACTGAATATATATTTGGTTATTGTCAAATATTACTGAAAATTTGAGGTAATTTTATAAAATTATCCTTTATAATTCAAAACATTTGCAATTTTAAATTAAAATAGAAATTTTACACATTCATCCAACATTGATAGGATGCTACCAAAAGTGTATCATAAATTTCTCTCCTTTCAATGTTTCATCTTGAAAGAGAAACAATGAAAATCCATAGGAGATAGTTGACAGGATGCTTCTGGTATTGAAAAGTACAAATTAATTTTCTAGGCATTGAGGTTTCATGGTAAAATTTTATTTTGTGAGATTGCTCTGGATATATACAGGATGTGGCAACCTTAAAAAAAAATTGATATTGATTAGGTGGAATTGGAGGGTTGTGCCTCGGGTTCCATAGGAAGTTATAGGGGAATTTCATGGTGCTTCGTGGTATAAATTAGACGGAAATGGAAAAAAATTATGAACTCAAAGTTGATAATTTAGCGTTCAATTTTTCAGAGAGAACGTCAAATCAGTTTTTTCAAAACTTAATCTCAAAAGCTTTTCCTCGGGAAAGATTCTTGCATGAAAAAGTGAAGCAAATGAAAGTAAAATGTAAGAAGAGACGAAGAGAGCAACAGAGAAAATAGTTAGGGCATAACTGTTTGAAAAGTTAGTCAATATTTTTTCATCATGTGAGATTTTTAGAATATCACCTCTGAGGTGATATTTTTCATTGAAAATTTTGTTCACAATTTAAAATTCCGAGAAAGCTAAAAACCACAACAATTTTCAAACTTCCATATATCAAATCTGAATATCTGGAATTCCCAACCTAAATTTAATGAGATTTTAAATTTTATCCTTTTACCAAATACCGCATAAGTAATTATCTAAGGGAATCTCTGCCAATTATAAATCTCAGGCATGTCAGAATCACTGGCGCTCTGACAATAATATTGTAGTAATTCCCACTTTAAAAAGAAAAAATCAATAACCTGTGTCGTGGCTTAACATATCACAGCATAAACATTTGCATTTTTCATGGGATAGGATCCATTTACAAACTAGAATATCTGGTGAGATATGGAATCAGCAACATCTCAACAACTCCAAACAGCCAAAGGGTATAAGATAAGGATCACATCCCAACAGAAGGAGGTGGAATCCTACTACAATTGGGGGATCTCAAAAGGCACAAGCCTAGGAAGGTAATCTTATAAATAAGAGCCTATGGACCCCAGGTAAACACTCAGAATACATTTACTACTTTCACCCACGCTGTGCACACACCCACGCCTTGGCTATAAGCCTATTGCTTGTGCGCAGTGATTGGGACCTCGGCTATAAGCCTAGTATACAGTTGATATACACTATCTCTGAGCGCATACCTTACGGTATAGCAATACGGTCTATCCAGGACCTAACATTGGCGCCGTCTGTGGGAAACGATAAATTTCGACTCCCATTCCACGATGACGAACACACGTTCGACGTCTAGTACCTCCCAAATACCACCGCGTCAACCACAGTCTCAGCCTTACGGCATGCCTCAACACCAATCTGCACTAGAACAGCCCCAATTGGAAGCAAACCCGGTGCTGGTTGAGGTACAGGTCGGCGAGGTCGGAACACAAGGACCGACTCCCAGACCCCAGCCGAGTGCAACAATTGCTGCGGTTCGTCCACCTTCACACAGTGAGCAACCAAACGTGACAAACATGGCCATGGAAGCAATCCTTCAAAGGTTGCAAGAGATGGAAAACAGATTCCTGACCCAGCAGCGTATGGATGCCCAAAGGATGGCGACATTGGAGGCCGAACTGAGGACCTTGAACGCGGAAGGCCAGACTAGGGGAGCCGGAGGGGTCGTAAACGACCGACCTCAGCAGCAACATGCTGAAGGCGTACATCAGAACGCTGAAGGCATCCAGCATCAGAATGCTGAAGGCATCCAGCATCAGAATGCTGAAGACCTCCAGCATCAAAATGTTGGAGATCGGCCTAGAAGGCGCGGCAATGCTGGCGATGGAGGACCGCGGCAACAGAACGTGGCTACAGTCGAAGGAAACGCGCAGAATGGGCAGAACCTTAACCTCGGTAACAACCGGATGGTGGTGGTCCGAACGACAACTAGGACGAAAATTATCTGGAGGATGAAGAGGCTAATGATAGCCCATTCACTGAGAGGCTCATGAACTTGGCCATACCGCCGAGATTTAAGAGCACCAGGATACCTCCATACGACGGAAGTCAGGACCCAAAAGCCCATTTAGAGGCTTTTAAAACTGAGATGCTATTCAACGGGATTACTGGACCTATTAAGGCCAGGATCTTTGCGACAACACTGTCTGGTCAAGCAATGACCTGGATAACCAGGCTCCCTAGGAACTCAATCGACTCATTTGAAGACCTAGCTCGGACTTTCCGACTTAACTTTGCAACAAGCAAAGTACATCCGATGCCAGCCTATGCTTTGGGAAGAATCCGGCAGAAGGAGAACGAATCGCTGAGGAAGTACCTCGATCGATTCAAGGATGCCACCCTCAAGGTACGAGGGTTAACTGAAGCAGTGCACCTCCACTTAATCATTTCGGGATTGGATGGCGACTCCCCATTGGCGAGATCTATCTATAAGAACCCGGTGAATGATCTGGAGGAGTTCATGAGAAGGTCGGACAAATACATTGACGTGGAGGACATGCAAAAGGTTTATGTCGAATCACGAGGACGAAGCCCTACACGTCGGAGCCCGAGTAAGAAAAACAACAAAGACCGGGACCAGAAGGGATCCAAAAAAGCAAAGGACACTCGTGATAAAAGGTCGAAAGACCGATCACCAAGGAGGAGGTATGACGATTATACACCTTTGAACGTGTCCAGATCCAAGATATGGAAAGAGGTAGCACAGACCGAAATCCGCAATGTCGAGAGACCTCGACCCCTCAAAGCCAAGTTCGGATTAGATAGAAGCAAATATTGTGCATTCCACGACCAAAACGGTCACTTTACGGATGATTGTTGGGACCTTCGAGATGCAATTGTAAAGCACGTCAGGGAGGGAAAATTAAAGCAGTATATCATCCGAACACAGGGCAAGAAAAATAATAAGCGCAAGCAAAGAAGCCGAAGCCGAAGTCGAAGCCCAAAGAGAGAGGATCGAAAGGACCAAAGACAAGACCGACCTGCCAAAGAAAAATAGGTCGATGAAAAGGACGAGGCTTTTCCTGAAGCCGAATTCGAATGCAACGTGATAAGTGGAGCTCTAGGTGGGGGAGGAGACTCGGCTAACGCTAGAAGAAGGTACTTAAAAGAGGTCATGTCTGTAAGAGACAGGCCGACATTCAAAGGAAATGACAGCAAACCGGCTCCCCCGAGACTGTTCTTCACTCTGATGGATTGGTGATCACCGGAGTGCTAGTCAATTGCCGAGTGAAGAGAATCTTTATTGACCACGGAAGTTCAGCTGACATAATTCTCTGGGATGCTTTCCAGAGGATGAACCTGGACGAGAAGGACTTGAAACCATGCGTCACCGAGCTGGTCGGGTTCAACGCAGCGGCGTCCCCTTCAAAAGGCTACATCGACCTAAAGTTGACCTTGGGAACGAAGGACTCGTTCCGAGCTGGAAGGGTTCGTTTCGTGGTGGTGGACACCTCGTCTTCCTACAACGTGATCATTGGTCGGCCCACAATCCATGAATGGGATATGCTGATCTCCACAAAACATCAAGCATTGAAAAAACCTAATATGAACAACGAGATCGTCACCATAAGAGGTGATCAAGAAGAATCAAGAAAGTGCTACTATGAGACTCTACGAGTCCATCATGGAGGTCCATCATCTCCACCTCGGCTTAAAGAAGGAGGAACTAAGGACCAATCACTGAAGGCATGCAGAAGAGAGGTCAACTTGGTTGAACTCGATGTAAGAGAGGAGCTCTTGGTACCTCGTCCATAACCCCAAGGAGAGTTGGAGGATGCCGATATTGCGAAAAACGGTAAAGGACACACCAAGGTGGGAAAATACCTTAAAGGCGACTTCAAAGAGGTGCTGGTTTCTTTTTTAAAGGAAAACCGTGATGTGTTTGCTTGGAAAGCTTCAGAAATCCCTGGAATAGACCCAACCTTCTGCTGCCACAAGCTCTCCATGTACCCTGGTTCACGGCCAGTATCCCAAAAGAAGAGGAAGATAGGGTCCGACCGACGTCATGCTTTGAATGAGCACGTCGACGAGCTGCTAGCAGCCGGATTCGTTAGCGAAATACAGTATACCACTTGGTTGTCTAATGTGGTGATGGTAAAGAAACCAAGCGGGAAATGGAGGATATGTGTGGACTACACCGACCTCAATAAGGTCTGCCCAAAGGACTCATACCCCATGTCGAGCATTGACCAGCTAGTTGACAATTCTTCAGGATTTCAGCTACTTTCGTTTATGGACGCGTACTCTGGGTACAACCAAATTCCACTACATCCCGACGACCACGAAAAAAACGCCTTCATGACTGAGAAGGGCAATTTTTGTTACAACGTCATGCCTTTTGGCCTCAAAAATGCAGGGGCGACATATTAGCGGATGATGAACCGCGTTTTTGGAGGGCAGATTGGAAGAAACCTAGAGGTATACATCGACGACATGATTGTCAAGTCGTTGCAAATGTCAGCACATATAAATGACCTCAGGGAAACTTTTGAGCAGTTGAGAGCTCACAGGATCAGGCTGAACCCAGCAATATGCGCTTTTGGGGTACCAGCTGGAAAGTTCCTGGGCTTCATGCTTACCAACCGAGGAATAAAAGTGAACCCCGACAAGTGTAGGGTCGTGCTTGAAATGAAGCAGCCCGAAAGCAAGAAAGAAATTCAACAGCTCACAGGACGTCTTGCGGCCCTGACCAGATTCTTTCCTAGATCGGTAGAAAAAGCTTTGCCTTTCTTCAAGCTCCTCAAAAAGGAAGCCAAGTTCGGATGGGGAGAAGAATGCAAAAACGCATTCTAAAATATTAAGAATTGCATGGCCACTCCTCATGTACTGTCCAAACCAGAGCCCGGAGAAACGCTGATCTTGTACTTATCAGTTGGGGAAGAGGCCTTCAGTGCCGCCCTGGTACGGGAGACTGACAAATCACAGCAGCCGATCTACTTTGTAGGTCGAACCTTGCAAGGGCCTGAGCTTCGTTATCAGAAGCTCAAGAAAGTCGCATTCGCACTGCTTACCACGGCAAGGAGGCTCCGACCTTTCTTCCAGAGTCACCGAGTTATTGTGCGAACGAATCAGCCCATCAGGCAAGTCCTCCACAAGCCGTACCTCGCTGGCAGAATGATAAACTGGGCAGTCGAACTCTCTGACTTTGACATTGCGTATGAGCCCAGGCAGGCGATAAAGTCCCAAGCGCTAGCCGACTTCATCTTGGAGCTAACCCCATCCAATGAAAAGGGAAAAGGGAACGAAGATCTCTGGACAATACACGTAGATGGATCGTCCAACTCCAAGAGGAGCGGAGCCGGGGTGATCATTGAGACCCCGGAAGGAGTGTCCATTGAGCATTCACTTCACCTGGCCTTCCCGACTTCTAATAACCAAGCTGAATACGAGGCATTTATTGCCGGGATCGTGCAAGCAAAAGAGCATGGGGCCAGAAAAAAAAAATGAGTGATTCGCAGCTGGTTACCTCACAAGTTGAGGGAAAATATCAAGCCAAGGGTCCTCTCATGATGAATTACCTCCACCAGGTCAAGGAGCTGCTAGCCGAGTTTGACGAGGTGATAATCCAATACATACCTCGGAACGAGAATAATAGGGCCGACATCTTATCCAAACTTGCCAGCTCAAAGGGCCCAGGAAATCATCGCACTGTGATACAACAGAGCATCTTGGAGCCGACGTGTGTGATGGTGATAACCGAGACAGAGGATTGGAGAAGGCCCATAGTGGCCTACCTGGAAAAAGGAATCCTGCCAGACGAAACGCAAGAGGCCAGAAAACTCGTGAGGAATTCGGCCTGTTTCACCATAATAGAGGGGCAACTCTACAAAAAGGGTTTCTACACACCCATGCTGAAGTGCCTAGGCAACAATGAGGTTGAATACGTGCTGGTCGAGATTCATGAGGGCATAAACGGGCATCACATGGGAGGAAAAGCCTTGGCCAGAAAGGCACTAAGGGGAGGATACTATTGGTCAACTATGGAGGCGGACGCGAAGGAGCATGTCAAAAAGTGCGAAAAATGTCAGAAGCATGCGCTGATCCTTCATGCACCCCCAGAAGAGCTGCAAACTATTACGGCTCCATGGCCATTCTTCAAATGAGGGATGGACCTACTGGGACCTTTTACTGTGGCTGAAGGTCAACTCAAGTGGTTGATAGTGGCTGTCGACTATTTCACCAAGTGGATCGAGGCCGAACCCCTCACCACCATTACCTCGGCAAGGATACGGAGATTCTTTGAAAGAAACCTCATCAGTCGATTTGGGCTTCCTGCCGAGATAATAACAGATAACGGAACACAGTTTGCTGACAAAAAGTTCTCAGAGTTGATGACCGACCTCAAAATCACACATCGATTTGCGTCAGTTGAGCACCCTCAGACTAACGGACAAGCCGAGTCTGCCAACAAGGTGATCATCAACGGGTTGAAGAAAAGGCTCTTTGAAGCCAACGGCAATTGGGTTCAGCAACTACACCTCGTCCTATGGGGTTACAGGACAAGTACCCAATCTACCACGGAAGAAACCCCCTTCAAGCTGACATATGGGTGCGAGGCCATGATTCCGGTGGAAATCGGTGAGCCGTCCTGGAGGAGGGTACAGAGGTTACAAGGAACCGAAAGCCAAAACAAGGAAGCACTCCTTGTGGAACTCGACCAACTGGATGAATGCAGGGAGAACGCCAGATACAAGAATATGATGGCCAAGCATTTGGTTACGGCCAGATTCAATAAAAAAGTCAGACCTCGGTCATTTCAGAGCAGCGACTTAGTCCTGCGTAGAGCAGACATCGGCAATAAAAATGCAAGAGATGGAAAGCTCGCCGCAAACTGGGAAGGTCCCTATAAGATCAAAGATAATCTGGGAAAGGGAGCTTACACTTTGGAAACTATCTCCAAGAAACTAGTAAAGAGGACTTGGAACGCGGACAAGTTGAAGGTCTACTATAGCTAGGTCTCATGTTCGAAGTTCGAAATAGGAAGACGAGCTCTTAAGCTCGGTCAATAGTTAGAATTATTTCTACGCAAATAAGGCGAGCTATTAAGCTCAGTCAATAGGTAGATTTATTTCCAAGCAAATAAAACGAGCTTTTAAGCTCAGCCCTTGTAAAGAGATTTCGTTGGAATGCAAATAAAAAGAGCAGTTACTTAATTTATGTTATCTATGCATATCGATTTCCACGCAAGTAATTGAAGGCTCAGGAGCTTCGTGGCCGAAAAGGAATAACAATTTTGTTGACGAACAAAAGAATAATCCTAGGTCGGCTAAAACTCGACGAATTATAAGCCGATTACGACAAGATCGAAATAGAGCTTCAAACTATAAGTAAAAAAGAAGCAACGATCTCGGCAAAATGAAATTAAAGACATAAGATTCAAAAAGCCGACCCAAAGCGGCAATTATGTCCTAATAATGTAAAAAAAAAGGGGGGGGGGGGCTCAAAGACCCCGTAATCAAAAATAACATAAGAAGGTCGGCATTCCGACCCCTTCATTCTTCAGCAGGAGATGAAGCGGCAAGAAATTCGGATCTGACATCCCCCCCACCAGTGGACTCCGCATCAGGGGTTCCAGGGACTATGATGTCGTCCTTAACCTCATAGGCCACGTCCATGCCATCCACCACCATGCCAGGATTCAAAACCTGAGCCTGAGCAATAGCGTTGTCAAAAGCTTGAATAGCGGCCCTAGCAACCACGGCTTTAGCCTCTTCAAAGTCGGCCTGCAGATCTAAAAGTTGGGCATCCTTTTCGGCAATAGACTCCGAGAAGGACTCCTTCTCGGCACTCAAGTCATTAGCCTTGGCGGTAACCACCTCCAAGTCCTTCTTAGCCTTATCTAGCTCTGAGGACAACTCTTGAACTCTGACCTCCAAAGTTGACTTAGACCTGCTCAGCTCCTCCACCTTGGTAGTGAGAGATGAGTTAGAAGCAATAGACAAGTCGAGGCTCTGATTGAGATCCTGAAAGGTTGAAGCAACGAGATCGTCTTCAAAGAATCCTCCTCCATCCGTGCCAGCCTGGCCCTCACAGTAGAGGTGAAGCCCAAACCTCCAATGAGCCCAGGAGGAGGCTTTAATACGGCCCTAAGACGGTCTGAAACCTCCGTTCTCCATAATTCCCCGGGCTCAAGGGTGATCAAACTCCCTTGAGGAGCGGTAGGAGGAACTGAAAGTTGTGACAAAGGAGGAGTCTGGGCACCAACCATGGTCACTCTGACGCCGGCCGAGCTCCCGCCGAGTATGGAGTCTATCCGCCTCTTCTTCGAAGCCTCCGACTCGAGAGGGGCAGTTTCTTTCGACTTACCCTTTCCGCCCTTCTTGGGCAAAAATTTCATGTATTCAGCAGAGTTCATGCTGACTGCAAAAGGAAAAGCAAAGTCAGAATATAGGTTATAAATCTGCAAGACAAGGTCATCTACAATTAAAAACAAAATGAGCTACATACCAAGCTCATAAATGGCATCCTCCCCAAACTTATCTACAATCCGACTCAAGTCAAAAGCGCCAAACTCATCGGTATATTCAATAAGAACTCGGACCGCCAGAAGTTCCGAGCTGGAAAGTGCAGATAAGGGGATATCATAGTCTTTTGGAGGCCTCTGATAATGTTTCTGCGTCCAATATAATTCAAACCGAGATGATATTCCGCCGTCGTCAAGCCAACTCTCGGCAAACCAAGGAAGGGACTCGGAACGAGATACCACCTTAAAGTAGGCATCCTTGAAGCCCTTGAAAGATTGGGAGTAAGGAATAAAAATCCTCCTGCCTGGGGTACCTCGTAAGGTAACCCACCCTTTCTTCTCCTTAGACTCGGCGCCAGTACGGAAAGTATACACATCAAAGAAGAAGAAAAAGAGAGTAACAGTGCAGGGGAGGTACAGGTAGGCACACACCTGCTCAAAACCCCGAACGAAAGCCCATGAATTCGGGTGAAGTTGCGAGGGTACAACCCTAAGACGTCGGAGAACCGACATCTGAAAGTTTGTAAAAGGAAACCGGATACCCAATTTGGTAATGAGATCCCGATAGAAATAGAAGAAATGGGGCTCGTCCAATATGGGACCTAAGCATACCGGAAAGTCGTCGGGTGGGAGAAGATCAACCCCATTGGGATCTCCCGCTGGGAGCTGGGCAACCTCGGCAGAAGACATTGTGGACCGTTTTTGGAGAACCTCGAGAAGGACCCAATCTTGAGCGTTAGACCTGTCCATGACTATATCCCTGGAATACGAAGGACAAAGGTCAGTACACATATCAACCACATCCGACCTTGGATTACCAACGTCGGATTGCAACGAAGACGGACTCCAAGAAGGAGGAATGGAGCTATCCGAACTACTGACAAGATCAACAAATGAGACCCGACTC